ATCATTACTGTAAACAGTTCCATGAATGTGCCTATCTCCGAGACTTATAGTTCACAAAAAAAATAACTCTTGCACGCCTTGCGTGCCTATGTTTCTAATGAGGCACTCAATGTTCCAAGTTCAGTCTCGATCGAGTTGAGAACGATTTGTTGATACAAGACGGCAGCAATATAACTTTGAAGGTTATTGCTGGTATTTTGGCGGTTTTTATATGGGGAGAGTCAGAAGCTCTCTTTGAAGATATTCTGTCAGTCAGCTCATGCTCAGCGTTCATGCCCCGAGAGAGCGGTGAATGGCCGTTCAGATTTAGATACATACAAAGGGAGCTCCAACTTCATTATATAAATCAAAACAAATTGAAAACAGATTCAAAACAGATTGTTCACTATTTGTACAGCTCGGTTTCTCGCCCGGACACTTAAAAAGTGTGCGTGAACGCGCTTCGATCTGCGATCAACCGCATCGTGCAGACGACTTTGTTCTGTTTGACTTTTTCAGGGTCTTAGTTATTGCAACAGTATCGTTCATGTAAATATTTACGTAGCGCGAAATTAAAAACATCCAGGTGCAAATAGTGAGCCGGCCATAAAATAAATGCAAAAATAAACGAAAGATGGGAGCGGGGGTGGGGGGCGGTGAGTGTTTGGAGTGTCATCGCCTTAAACCGGCCACCCAAATTTCAAGGATCGTTCCATTAAAGGGTTAGCAAAGTTGGCAGAGTATGCTCAACTTCTTTAATTATCTCAATTCTTCATATTTCATTATTACACTCTTTGACAGCAGGTATTTAACATGTTATACCAGAAGCATATGCTTCTGGTTCTACTTTGCTACTAAATTTTATGAGCAGTTTCCCAACACAGTTTGATTTTGTGACCTGGTTTTGAAACCTTTTAAGAGATTTACTTGTGCCATGATCTTTGTGAAATACAGTGCCTGTTCTAGTCTACATATTAAGAGTTTTTAGCGGTGTTTAGTAGTTCGTCTATGCTTTGATCTTCCAAGAGACTTGCCTTGAAAAGGATTATATTGTTGTTGCTAAGAACTGACGTTTTGATAGCCTCAAAGTCTTACGCTTGATTCAAGCAGGATTTTACGTTCAGGAGTACTGTAAGTGTCATCGCCTGCAAAGGATCTTGTATGTTTCGAATGATTCAGGAACACAATCATCAGTAAGCCATGTGTTGTGGTTTGATTTACCACTGGAATTAATCTAAATGGTACCTGCATGAAGAATGTACATGTAAAACAAATTTACATGAAGACAGACAAGCTTTATTCATTTCTGAGGATGCGAAAATACACTTTCTTCACAAACTTTTTTCCAGGTTTGAAAAAAAAAAAAAAACACCCATGTCAGATTTATCATTGAAAAATGCAAACTCTGTGAAATTGCTGCCAGTGGCAAATGAAAACAGTGTGTTGCCATCAAGATAGAATTGGAAGTTTCACTACCAACTTGTGTGCATTGGTGTTGAAAGTGGCTGTTGTTTGTTCAGGGTCAACTTTCTGTGCCAGCTCAACATTGAGTCTGTAAACTCCCGGAACATCCAGTGACAGTTCAGTCTACAACAAAGAAAAAAAGAAAAGTTTACATTAGTTAGAGAGTGGAAGATTTCTGATGGTTGAGGGTGGGGGGATAGGGAGGAATTAAAAACAAAAGGAGTGAGGAGGATTGTATCTTAAGTATCCATTTTGCACTTTTCAGAGACCAAAGACTGTTCAGGAATGAAATTTTAGATCCAGCTTCACAACAAAGACTGGTACTTAAATTCAATTATCAGGAAGTACAGACCTGCCAGCCCCCAACAGTGAAAAATCTGGAGGTAGACTCAAAAAAACCTGGACATTATGCCACTTATACCCCACTTATTGGCACAACAGAAGAAAAAAAAAGTGATCTGTAAGTGTGAATCACAGATTTGCAAGATTAAAATAAGCTGTTAGAACCATCATTTTTATCACTTTTTTTTCAGTCCATATTTTTTCTCAGAAAAAGCAAGAGGTTTCCTATCTTTGTCAGGAGTCTGGAAGACATGACAAAAAAACATAAAACTTCTGGCCAAAAAGGGAGGGTTGACAGGTCTGGAAGTGAGTAAATATTATGCTTGCAGTTAGTTCCATACCTCACAAGCATCCAGTTGGCACTGAGAAGATGATGCAACATTTGGTAAGCCCACTTTAATAATGATCCTTTTTGGCTTGGAATTCTCTGCATCTTTCACAAGAACTTCATAATTTGGTGTTGTTGGCTGTGGTGCTGTATTTGTTGATGACACTTCCTCAATCAAGCATTTTTTCGGTTTTTCTGCTGATCGCTCAAACAAGTCAAGTGGTGCATTTCTATCAGGCTGGCTGTCAGATACTGCTATTGATGAAAGTTGTTTCAATAATGATTCTGGGTTCTCAGAAACCCCAGGCTTCTGTTGCTCAGGATTCGTTGGATTGATTCCTTGTTCCCTTCCATGCCGTAAATATTTTCGCAAATTCTTTGGATCACCTTTGAAAGGCTTTTTTGAGTTTTTATATTTTCTTGAAACTTGTATCTTTTTGGTGTTCTCGATGTAATCCAAAGCGACATGCACAAGAAGGTTTTTGCGATCTTTACTGTTCGACACACCTTTAGTGACAACTGGATTAACAATAACATCAACTACAGAATATGTCGATTTTCCTTCTGTTTTTTCCTGAAGCTCCCCGGCCATCACGGGAATTGGGTCGTTTTCTGACTTTGGAGCAATCATTTGTTCCCAACTACAAATGTTCACAAACAGCTCATGGGTGATCACAGACGGAAGCTGAAATGCCAATGATTGAAGGACGGTATGTTAGAAACTGTACACGGAATCGTACCCATTCCTTTAACGACACATAATTTCCTTCAGAAAGTTTGAGGTGGCGAAGAAAAAAATCACTAACTTTACATGAGCTATAAGAAAGTGAAAGTGCCCGTTGCTATGCTTACCAAAATAGTACTGATGCAAAAACAAGGTTCCGGTGGCTTGAAGGAGGTAGCTCCATCCTTCAAAGTCTTGTCGATAAACTTCTTATATGCTTCGGGATCTGACTCAGCCATATCATCCAGCATTTTCCACATACTCTCTGCTTGATTCAAGAGGCTCTCCGAACCCCTCTGATCCGCCATCTTGAATAATGTGAGTAGTACTGGGAATAGCCCTACTACTCATGCTTCCAAATTTGCCGCTGTCACCTCTAAAGTTGAGCCTGTTCAAAGTGAAACATGAAAAGGAAAATTCTGGAAATAAGGTTGGTAACCATATTTAAAGCCTAAAATTAGAGTAAGGATTTTTTTTGTAGAGTAAGAATTTTTTCTATGTGAAGTTGTTTCTACATCGTGCATGCAAAACCATTTTTATTTGGATTACGAAGACTCTTTGAAACTGAAGTCAAAGCTCAAGTCCATTTCATCCATGCATTATAGCTGAGCTTACCAGATTCAGGAAGCAAAAACAATGTCGTTCTTCTCAATTTTACGGATCACGTCGTTGCCTAAATATCTATGAAAGCTATAAGATCATGCATATATACTAGGATGTCTGGTTGATCCATTTATCATGTACAATTCACATCTCAACTACAGACAAGTTTGTATTGTCTTGTGATGACCAACATCAATGCATGATACATTTACATCTGTAGACTTTTACACATATTTGTTCTCAGGTGCTTAGCAATGTGGTCGGAAGTGTCATGATTTTTTCAAATAGCACTAAGACGTACCATTGTTCTTGTCTGCTGCTTGTCTGTCTTACCTGACATCACCTGAGCAGAAGAAATAGGTTTCCCTGGAGACATGATTTGATTGGGTAGCTATGTTGGACTAAGATATTCCCTAATTCACAGGGAAGGATATCAGCATTGAATTAGTAAAAATCTTAGTCCAAGAATCTAGCCAATCAAAACATGTATCTCCAGAGCCATGTTTTGATCATTGATCGTTTTGATCTTGGTTGGTCTAGGGATGAGAATGTTTCTGGTTTTTATTGTTTTCATCTTTTTAATTTCTTTTTCCTTTGTCTCTTAGGTGCAACTGTAAATTTTAAGTTCTACTGAATGATGACAAATTCAGACTTTTGATTTCAAAATGAAGAAGCTCTTTGAAAAAGCCAAACTAGAGTATAAGTTCAAGAAGGCTGGCGAGGGCCACACCTTGGAAGGTGATAGCAGGCCTTCTTCAAGACAGCAAGCCTCAACTTCACAGATGCCAACTGCTAGAACAGCACCAAGCTCAGATGCACAAAGAGCAGGGCTGGTGAGTATTGATTACTAAATAGTGATTTTTAAATACTAAGCTGCTGCTCTACCTGTGTGGATCACGATAGCTATGTGTAACAAAATAATGTTCATCTTTGTACAGAGATTCACTAAATAAATTATAATGCTCGGACTGATGAAGGCTGTGTGGGAAGCATTGTAGCTTCATGGTTAGTACACTCGTCTCTGGATTAAGCAGTTCTGGATCGAGCACTGGCCAGGGACATTGTGTTGTGTTTCTGGCCAAGACACTGTACTCTCACAGTGTCTCTCTGCACCCAGGTGTTTAAAATGGGTACTAGTGACACATAATTATTTAGAGAAGAAGTTGAAATTTTATTGATCCCAGATTGAAATAAATGATTTATTAGTTAGCAAAATGCCAAGTTTTTCTACCCATGCTAGGCTGCTTTGGAAAGGATGTCTGTTCATGAAAAAAATGCTGTGAAGAAACCAAAGTCTGCTACAGCCACCTGGAAACATAGTGGACCAACGTCATCAACTTCTCAAAGTGCAAGCACAGAAAATGCTCTTAATCTGAATCAGCTCAAGAGAGAAGGTTATTTGTCAAATGTAGTATTGTGTCAAATATTTATATTTAAAAATTATTCCAGGAGCAGGCATTGGATATGAGATGGTAGATAGCGAATGAGGCGCATTGCACCAGGTTGGCTATAATAATGTCATATCCAACAAGCCTGTGTGGAATAATTGTTTTATTAAAAATGCCCCCAAAAGATAGTTCTTAAACTGATTGAAATAAAATAAGGATAAAAACCCCCCAAAAATTATGCATACTCTCACCATATTTCTAGAGCATGGTATAAATGCCTCTTACTAACTGAGGTCAAGGGCCGTACTGTAAGTTACGGAGCAAGTTTTTTCCCCATCGATTTATGGCCCAAGCACGAAGCGCGTGGGTCATAAATTGAGGGGGAGAAAACTTGCTCCATAACTTACAGTACAGACCGAGAAAATGAGGTTAGTAAGATATTTACTGCATTATATCTCTACTGTGTTTGAAAGGTTTGGGAACGATTTATATACAGGCAGAGAGGCTTCAAATTTCTGATGTACTTCGAAAGCAAAACAAGTCAATTTGAAATCGTTGTTAAGTGACTTTTAAGTCGTTAGCAGGTTTTAATACACAATATCAGAAGTAAAAGAAAGTTTAAACTTTTACTTGCTAAAAAAGTTAAGAACACTTGGCAATAAATCATGAAACATTTTGACAACGAAAACAGCTTTAAATTTTAGCGAGCCGTACAGTAAAATACGGCCCGCTAAATTGACTAATCACAGCGTGCATACTAACTGAGAGATAACAATGACTCATAACCCATGATGGCTACAGTGCAAGCCTATGAAAACTCTTGAATTGCATCATCAAATGATGCAGTTTTTAATAATTCTAGTTATTCAAACTTATAAAAGATAAAACAACAGTTACTTGAGCCTGTTGCATGTGAGCTGTTCATTCTCCGTGGGGCAAAAATCAATGTGGATGTTTACTCTCATGTGATGCATACATTGTATTTTGTGTACATTTTCAGTGAGACAGGAGATGGCATACCAAGGGGCTAGCCAGGCCAGAGAACTTCAAAAGAGCCTTCAGTCTACTGCTGAGGTCAGATATACTCTAGTCTACTAATAACCACCATGATAAACAACTGGCTGGATATGTATGTTGTTGTAGATAGTGCCACATGGCTAATGGCATCTCTTTGTCAGAAACTGTGGCATAGTAACCGCTAACAAACATATGCTGATAACTAAAATTTTTTTAACTGTGTTTTCTATTCCTGATATGCTCAGCCAACTGAAGTAGATTGCTCAACTGTGCTTGCCCATGAAGGAGTATACTTCAGCTGTCCTCTGTGCCCAGTCACAGCTTTACAAAGTGAAATAGATGCACACCTTTCTGATTGTCTTCATAAGGTACCTACATGTACATGTATGGAAAACAGTTATAGACATCCGAATGTGTGGTTTGAATGTCCACATTATCATCCAAGTGTCTGGGCAGAGTGTCCATATGATCATCTAAGTGTCTGGGCAGTGTGCCCTTATTGTCAACCAAGTGTCTGGGCAGAGTGTCCAAATATGTCTGTTATAAATAGTTGTATTTACTATGGAGTTGTCTGTAAGGATATGTCTGTTCTGTACATGTATGTTAATTAAGTTCAGATGACAATTCCATTGTATTAAGTCCACTTTTGTGTAGCAAAGTTTTGAATTAATGATAAATTAATAAATCATAATATTATTAAGCTTAAAATGATTTTCAAATGTGTTGGTGAACTATCATTTTTTTTTTCAGCATTATCATGAAGAATCCTTGACTTCCTCTTGCTCAATGATATACTCTCTTAACAAAGATAAGGAAAAGGTGAAGGCGTGTGTTGACTTACTCTGTAGGTAAGCAGTTTATTAAATTAAAATATTCAACAACACACCCAGTAACACAAAACAAGCCCATTAACAGGCTTCTTAGCTTGAAATCTCACGACAAAGGCTTTTCTTTGAAACTTTTTTAAGATTGAAATCTCCTGTAGGCAATGGTCATTACTTGCTAGATTAAAAGACCAGACGAGTGTTCTACTTTCATTCTAATAAAGGGTTAAGATAAATTGGTTGTTCTCTTCTTTTAGATACCTTGACAACGTTTGTAAGAACCCTGAAGAGGAAAAGTATCAAAAAATAAAACAAAGCAACAAAATATTTCAGGTAATTCATTTAATGACACAAACATTCTACTCATCCATTTTCTTTCTTTGCACTGATTTTTTGGTGTTGCATTCAGTGATTCATTGGGATGATGCAAGAAAAATCTCTCGGAGGGGTTTTCAGTGCCGACAATTTACCATAAATACCTATAGATTTGCCCCCCAAACTTATCACTTAAACTTTGGGAACAAAATCTATAAGCCTTAAAATTTTTATATTTGATTTTCTGGATGATAATTTGTAATTTCCTGTTGGCCCCAGTTGTAAAATCTGAAATCTGCAGCGTGTAGCACCCTGTGTATTTAAACACTGTGTATTATTTTGCATTCACTCAGGAGCGCGTGGTGCCCATCAGAGGGGCTGCTGAATTCCTTCTCGCCTGCGGTTTTGAAGATAAAGTTCTTTCAGTAGAAGGTACAATAACTGACCCTGGATAACGTCTACTTTTCCTTGAAATTTTAGTGCCTTGGACAGCTGATCACGTGTTCAGTTTATTGACAGGTGTCTGTTTACTGGTGATTGGGAGAGCGAGAACTTTCCTGGATTAGAATTCGATCTCTGATTTGTCTCAACAGAGCCTGCATTCTTTAGCGATGTTGCTAATTGGGAAAGTTTTGTCGTTGACAAGCCGACGTGAACAATCGTTCGAGCCGCCGGCGTTAATTATCATTGGACAGGGAGAACCAGGATATTCACGAGCTTTTATGTTAACGAGAGCGAATCAGAGGCTTTAGTTAGCGGAGCTGGGGTTCATCACGTTTATAGTTTGTACTAAAAAGCGGTGGTTGCGTTGCAGCCAACAAGTCAAATACTTTCAGTCGAAAGTCAGCTGTTTGATTTTTGCTACTGCGATTAATTTACCTTAAACGACTTTGATATATTGCATCAAATATTAAACTAAGTGTTTACTTTTCTCTATTTGTTTGTTTTCAGATTCCGAAGAGAAGTTTTTTGTTTTGCCAAAGGAGGCGTGTGCTGACTGCGAACGACTGAAGGTATTCAAAGAAGTCTTGGTCAGCAGTGAAGCTTTGAAGCCAAAACTCGATCGATGCTTAAAGGTAACCTCAGCCTTGACGATATTCTACCTACATCTAAAGTGGAGGTTGCTTTTTCTTGTTTGTCATGAATCTATTATAAAAGGTAAATAAATGATGTTCGACTATAACCGTGATATAACGAAGCCTGCGTCTGTCTTGCATCTCCTTTTGCAGTTGTGCACCACGCCGATTTTGGTTATGGCCACACAAATTTGTGGCAGAGAAATATTTTCCAACGGTCTCAGGATTTCATTGACGCATACACATCAACTGTCCTTCCCTTACTGTTTTCTGTTACTCCGATCTTTGTAGGTCTACAAGCCAAGCAGTCAAGCTAGCCATTTTGAAGTCCCCAGTGATTTCTTTACCAAGAGTGCTGATGAAGTCAAAAGGGAACAAATAGCAAGGTCAGGATTTGAGAATAGTCTTTTTAGAAGTCTTTGGTTTTGATCAAAACACCACAACTTAGAACTTGAATTTGACTTGAATTAGCTGATTGTCGTTTTTTGTTCATCCATAAGCTTATATCTGATTTTACTTTCACTGTGAATGCATGCTTCAGCGTTATCATTCTTTAACCTTTAGATCATGCGTGCCAAACCTTGCCATCTTTCCGTTATTTTCTTTTTTTTTTTTTAACCAAGGCTAATCGTTGTTGTATTCTCGTAAGGCCCCCTCCACACTACGCCGGAGGAATTTAAAAACGGAGGATTTTACTCTGCAAACGCATGGAATGTTTTCCGTCCACACTACGCTGGAGGAATTTAAAAACGCAACAATCACCGGTCATTTTGGATTTGTGTTTGAGGAAAACTCAACCATGGAAATCACATGGATCGTGACGCCATCGGTTTCTAAAAGCTCCGTTTTCAAAATGTTTTCCGTCCGCCCGAAAACGAAAACCAGCGTTTTCAAAGGCTTCCGGTTTGAAGAGCATTTTCGAAAAGCTCCGTTTTCCAAACGGATTATTGTGGAGACAGGCCTAACCGTAGAATTAAAGCTGCGTTTTTAAATTACTCTGGCGTAGTGTCGTCGCTACCTAAGACTTTTCGTGCGTGCGTGCGTTCGTTTGTTCGTTCGTGCGTGTGCGTTTGTTCGTGCGTCCGTCCGCCCGTTCGTTCGTTCGTTCGTTCGTTCGCTTATTCATCCTCCTTTCTTTCCATTTTCTAGAACCGAGGAAGTTGAACGCAATTCTCAGCTCAGAACTCGCGCTATGCGTGAAGCAGAGAAGCGTCCATCCAAGATCTACCGTTTCACTTTGTTGCGGGTTCGATTTCCTGACGGCATCATCCTACAAGGTACGTATGAATGCTTGATTTATTTCCACATTTCTTCACTTGAGTATTGACTCAGTCGGCTGCATATTTAATAAGAGTCGATCTTTCTCTTTGTTATGACAGGAACATTTTATTCCCGAGAAAAACTTCGGGATGTGTTCGAGTTTGTTCGGCAGTCACTCGTGTCCGACTGGCAGCCATTTGTCTTGTCCGAGGCGACAAGACAATTAACAGATGACAACGCTTCTCTGATCGACTTAGGTTTGGTAAGTACATGCAGGGGAATTTCAAAACACTTTACACTACACGATGATAACGCAGGCAGGCAGGATTCCGGATGACCTTCGCAATTGTTTTAGCGTGTTGAAAAAATGCCACAACAAGTTTGATTGTCTCATTAATGAGATGTTACTCATTAAACAATTACGACCGTGTTTAAATGTACAATCAGACTCAGTTCGCG